AAGGAGGGTGTTTTCAATTTAGTTGTGTTTATTTTATGTTTGTTTATAGCTCCGTAATTAATGTACTGAGTTTTTAACTGACGAAATTTTTTGTGTGATTTCAGGTCGATTCTGTTATGTTTTAGATTCACGAAGTTATTCAAAAAAGTTTGAAATTTTCGAATATAAGACAGGACACACTGTGTACAGGACGTCTGTCCGGTTCGCTAGTTACAGTACAAATCCATTGGTTTTTAGGACATGGAGTAATTTAATCTGAAGTGCAGTGGCGCGGGACGTTCCCGACTGATTGTTCGCAGGTTGCCATTATCTGCATTTATTTCTGTATACGTTCCGTGTAATGGGTCGCTTGCAACATCTCAGCGTCGAGTGCGCCTCGAGTGCACACCCGGGTTCGGTTCCGATTGCGTTTTTCTTCAAGTGTTTGGCGAACGGGCAATGCTTAGATTGGTTTCGCTTGCAACGAATTGTACGAGTCGTGTTCTTTAATGGTGCGCGGTGGTCTAGTGGCTGGTAGGTCGACTTTCGAATGTAAGTTGCGGGTTCGCATTTAAAACAAGAGATTGTTTGAACGTGCAATATGACTCACATATACGGTATACATTGACACTTTATTCTCGCTTAAGGAAGCAAAACGTGTTACTACTTATATAGTACATATTTGATGTAGGAAAATTCATAAAATCTGCCCTGAAAACAAGACAAGTAATAGACAAAATAGTAATTGACCATGGACGCCGTTAAGTCTCTGAAACGACGGTGATTAATAAAACAAATTAAACGAGATAAAATCCTTTAATTAGTTTTATTTAACAATGCACCAGACATTAGTGCATACAATACTTTTAGACAACAAGTACGGCTATTAATGCAAAACATCTTATCATCATTGCACTACGGTAGTAACAGAATTGAGTTAAGTTTATTTTTTTATTGTACATTGGAACTTTTCGTCGTCATAGCCGCATGATTAGTGAATAACTGGCCGTTTCAACACGCTTCTTTATTTAAAAACGTTTGACCGCAAACGAAACGGAGGTCGTGATCGATGCGGCCGCGGATTGTGATCAGTATTTCCTGACGATTAAACTTAATCGGCCAATTTTGGCGATTGCCATATTCCTCCCCGTCTCGACATTAGCGGCAGTAAATCACACGCAGTTTACACCGTCCGGTGATAACCGAAAGATGTCGTCTCGAAGACCACCAGAACTGAGGAAAAGAACGGACACAAGTCTTTTGACCCCGACTGTTTCCATGGAAATGTCAATGAATATTTCAAATTTTATCATATTTTAGCGCATAACAGACAGAGCAGGCGTTGAAGTCTTATATAGAATAAAAAAGGAAATTATTAATAACATACCGTACAGCTAAGGAATGTAATATAACCTGCCGGCGTTCGTCTTTCCGTCCGAATACAACGTAGGCGTCTTCAAGGCAAGAGTGAATAGGTTTCCACTGAGCTAGCACGCTTACCATCAACGGCTGCATCGCCACTTACCATCAGGTGGGATGGCAGTCAAGTGCTGGCCAGTTTTGAATTAAAAAAAACCGTATTTTTGGTATTAGAAAAATTGACACATGACGATTTCTAGTTAAACCTCCATGGAAATAAATACCGTCATACTTACTTCCGCACGGAGACATTTAGAGGCACTTCCTGTAACAAATTTGCTCATTCGTACTACATCATAAGTTGCTGCGGGGCCTAAAGCACAAATTATACTTTTAAAAAACGCAGTCTGAGCGACGTCGCGACGCTAATAAAGTGCTTCATCGCGTGTTTTAGTAAGGAATCACGCTAAATGCGATTCGTTGAAGACAATTGGCGTAATTCGGTGGTCGTGAGGGGTAATTGGGATCGGAGGTCGGCACGGAACACAATATAATGACAAGGACAAGTTTAATCATCTCGTTGATGGTCGTAAAAATAACAAGGGAGACAATTTTTCAACCGACCTCAAAAAAGGACTTGGTTGTATTTTTTTTGTGTATTATCGCAGATTATGTTTTATACAGCGTGTCGTTACCATCGCGACAATAAATGAACACACGTCTAACGCTACATGCCAATAATCATAAAAAAAATATTAACGTTAAACAAAATCCATAATTAAAAGAAAAATATTTTAAAACAAACTAATTACGTAAAAAAGAAACAAAATTTGTAACATCCTATACAACTCGCGCCACAGCGTCGTATTACAAGCCTCTCCTTCTAACAGTATGTTTTGTCTCTTTTAAATTCATTCAACCCATTCATATACTTTGTAACCTCTACAAATGAACTTTACGTTACGCTTTTATAGGTGAGGGTGTTCTAAAATTATTTGTTTTGGAAAATTTAATAACTCGGTAAATATTGATGTTTAAAGAATTTAAATGTTTAATACAACTTAAAAAAGTTATCCCCTATATGTGTGTTCATTTATTGTCGCGATGGTAACGACACGCTGTATATTCGGATTATTTCCCGTGTGGTCCAATTTAATTTCCTCAATATTGGACCTATGTGAAACGTCACGTGGACTCTGGAGATACGTCACCTCAAAATCAAATAGAAAATGTACAGTGTGTGAGATATTTGAAGTCGGTTATGTTTTTTGTTAATAAATATGTACTTTTTATTAAGAAACTGAATGGCACTTGAGTACAATCCTGCTTGATGGTAATTCGTGATGGTGTCGTAGATGATAAAGGCACTAGCTCAGTAAAATCCTCTTCCCTTTTGCCTCGAAAACGCCCAGTTCATATGTAAACAAGGGTACTTACGAATGGAAACTTAAGTACTAAAATATAAAGATTCCTTTTAAAAACTCAGATCTAGACTATTTTCTTGAAACACCGTGATAATTTATTGTAATACTCATCAATTTCGATGTGAAAACACATCGATCATCATACAATATTATATTGTGAAAAAGAATCGAACGAATGTATAAAGATAAAAATCAATTTTCATAACATGCATTTACTTGTCAAAAAAAAGTTAGTAAAGGCTCTTTAATATTTTTGCGCTGTTGCTATAAAATATATAAGGAAAAATTATCATTCATCATTTTGTCAAAATGAGATATAAATTAAAGTTCGCACAAAACATCTATTTGGGAATAGATCTGAAGAACCACATCCGTGAAGGCTGACGGACTACAAAGTCAGTCGACCGGCAAGAGTCAAGGGCAAATGAACAACTTTAAATTTATACTTATATAATCTATAACATCCGGCAGATTCGTATAAAAAAAGTAAATGCTGGGCAAAAGGCCTCCCCTGAACAGAGGTTGCGGACTCAGACCAATACTTAAACGCGAAATATCTTGGTAATATTTTTTTATTACTACACAATTCGAAAATATGCAGGTTTCCTCATGACGTTTCCCTTCACCTCTGAGCGAATGATAAATCAGCGCTTGAAAATGCAATTCACAATGTCATTGAATTAATGAATGAATGAATGAATATTTATTTAGTTTCAACAACAAACACAGTTGTTTACAATTAAAAGAATATATATCTAATACATGAAACCAAATAGTTATGTATTCGGTACGATTTCCCGATTTTCAGCACAATTTAAATTATTAATGACAAACTCGACTAAGATTAACACAAAGCGGGTACATTAATTCAAGGACAATAATACAATACCTACTAATTATAACCCAAATATATTACATTATTCTAAAGACAATAACGATTAATGAAAATTTACATCTATAAGTAAAAAGCAGAGAACAGACCATTGGTGAACATACGCGAGATTAGAGCTCGGGTTGCTCGAGTATATTGAACTTGAAGAGAGCGCCAGAACACTAAGCTTTTTTTATGTGAGAAGGTGAAAAAGAGCTGGCGGTTAACCTGATGTTAAGTCATAACCGCCGCCGATGGACATTTGCAACACCCGTAGAGTTGCAGATGCGTTGCCATCTTTTAATGTTGACTGGAAGAGAATGCAATTAGGCATTCAGTCCGCCCTTTGTAACCGCTTTTTAAGGTATTTCAATAAAGAATGAATAAAAAATTAAGTGGGCCCCGGTTACTTACACACGAAACTCAAAAGTATAACACCTCTACTTCGCGCAGGTCTTCTATGAGGTCGTGGTACTTCCCTTGGTCCTACCACAGTAAAAAAGTTATCACGGCTTTTTACACAGAGATTCGTATGGAGCCGTTAGCCTCCTTAAACGCATTCTTTAACTGCATTGTGACATGCCATTGCGACTGAAATATAAACACGCAATATCTGAGTAACCGAAATATAACGATATATCTTCGATTATAACGATTATGGACTCCGTGTCACGTGAACAACATTACGCGGGCTCGGTTACGAAATAAGTAGGTAAGTGGGTTTGTCCCGAGTACTTGATAAATTATCTTATAACCACCACTAAATCATTGGTCCGTGCCAGAACTCTCAATTGTAAACGGTCATCCGTGAAAACCGAGTGCTGAATAAACGTTACATAAATCTAAACGACTATTAAAAAAGACCCAGAAACAGTTTTTAGAAGAAAACTTATTTCGAAAGACGGCCCCGATTAAGTTAATGTTATATCACAAGTGACATAATTCTGCCCAGCAAAAATTTATTTATATATGTTTCAAAGTTTGTAATTCTTATTTTAATATCATTATAAGCAAATGTAATCATAAAATTATTAGATTCCGGATCTTTGATCTACAAATCTCAGAAAAGAAAAAATGTATAATTATTTAAGTTTTTTTGTAAATATAGTTATATAAAAAATTATACATGAATTCTTTAATGAATCACATAGGTATATTATACATGAATTCTTTAATGAATCACATATTATTTATTTAATTAAAAAATGTGGTATTTGAATAAAAAAATATAGCCTTATTCGTTTAATACGAAAACTGTTGAAAGTATACAAATTAAACATTGTATCAGCGCCATCTAGTTATGAAGAGATCTAATATTTCGAGATAGAGTCTAACCGTTAATTTCGACATGATTAGTATCTGTCAGGATGGCCGAGCGGTCTAAGGCGCCAGACTCAAGGTTAACCTTGCCTGCCCGCAGCAGGTTTATGTGTGTTCTGGTCCTCTCTGAGGGCGTGGGTTCGAATCCCACTTCTGACAAACTTTTTTTTCGTATTAATACTTTTAACATTTACATTATAATATTAAAAATTTTCTTTTTAGTTTTAATAAAAAATTGTAAAATTCAACATAATTTTTAAAAATAAATGAAAACATTCTGTAAGTATATTTTTAAAAATGGAATATGATGGATAAGGTTCAAGATCATTAACATTTTCCTTATTTAGAATTTAAAACTTTACGACTACTTTAAAACTAACGTTACCCAAAATTTAAAATTTTCTTGTTACATCTAATAAGTTAAACTATATTATTTTAATTTTGTTTACAATTTATTACCTTAATTTTGCTCTTTTATTATAAGTTACCTAATTTAACCTCGTGTTGTATATCCTCGGTAGTATAGTGGTAAGTATCCCCGCCTGTCACGCGGGAGACCGGGGTTCGATTCCCCGCCGGGGAGATCTTTTTGTTATTGTAAAAATTTAGGTTTTTGCGTAATCACGATCGTTTACAGCTTAATAAATATACTAGTCTTATAAATAATTAAATAAGACATGTATTACATACCGTATGTATTACTTTTATCTAACCTTAATATATTTCATAAATCAGGGCCATATCAATAAAATTGAAGGGGTTTAATTTCGAAATGTTATAAATTTTAATATTATTACAGTTATTTTATTTTCGGCATTCTTAAAATTCTTTAAGATCTCCTTCAGCTTATTTAACACTGCACGTTAGCGACATCTATCTTTGTTTTTAGGCAATACTTACAATTCAATAGATGGCACTGCTTAAAGGTAGTTTATTTAAACTAGTTCCGTGCAGACCTTTGTTAAACTATTTAATTATTTATTAGCTGTTCTGATAAAGATGTATATAAAAGTAGGTTCTGAAGTAACCACACTATTACTTCACATAATGTTCAGGCGCTTTATATAGACAAACAAAAAAACCACAAAGTTTGGACTAGAGCACTTTATTTCCTCTTTCCATCTTTCTAGTAAGTAAGCTACAGCTGTTTTGTTAACGTCACGCTGACGGATGCCAATAACTAATCTGTAGTCATACAGTTGTTCCATGCTAACAAAGCTTAACTTGGCGCGCTCCGTTGATTTTAGGTCGGCAGTGGCGGTGTGATGGTGCGGGAGGCCACAGTGCTACTGCTGGCGGTAGCACTGTGCCACGCCGCCACCACACTCGACTCCGAACTCGGCGTCGGCAAGGCGATCAACATCTTCATGAGGTGGGTAGCTCATGCTCGAGGACAAAAGTTTTTTAACCGTTTTTGTAATAGTATTCTTATTTTTCGCTGGCAGTGGCATAACTATACTCATGCGTTACAATGAATACAAAAAGAAAATAAACTTTCTTTTAATGATATCGTTTTCATATATTTGCTTTACACATACTCACATAACACAAAACACTAAAGGTATCAAAAATTTCTAAATATCACCAATAAATAAAGTCGCCCTTTGCATGACCGCGGGTACACTTAAGAGTTTAGTTAGAGAGCATTATCTGCCATAGGATTAAGTACTGCATTATTCATGTTTATATTGTATTTACAACCTCTGATTATATTATTTGAGATTTAGTATACAGGGTAGCTTTTTTAAAGGTGCCCAAATTCACACAGAAGGTTCAGACTCGGTAGTATAATTCTTTATTGGAAATAAAATCAAACTTTTTTTTTTTTTCAAAAAACTTGCCATTCTTTTCCCTAAAAAACAGAACTTGTTGACAATGTCAGTCATTCAAAGCGTCGTATACTTTTGAAACGAACTTGTGTGCGTGTTAGTTATGAATGATCACGCGTAAAATAAATGAATTGCCCATAAACCACGCACTTTTTAAGATAAGTTTAAATTAATGTAATTAATTAATTATGAGTGATTTTAAATATTTATCATTTTTATATAACATTATTTACGTATAGAATTTAATAATAAAATATATACACGTTGAAAAGCCTCCCTGTTTATATAATACACAGCGTGTCTTTGTAATCGCGACAATAAATGAACACACATATAGAGGATAACTTTTTAAAATTGTATTTAATATTTACATTCTTTAAACATCAATATTTACAGAGTTATAAAATTTTCCAAAACAAAGAATTTTAGAACATCCTTACGTATAAAACTGTAACGTAAAGTGCATTTGTAAAGGTCACAAAACACATGAATGGGTAGAATTTTAAAAAATTTAAAAGAGACAAAACATACTGTTAGAAGGAAAGGCTTGTAATGCGACGCTGAATCAAAGATTGAAAAAGTCTCTGAATGTATGAATCAGTCAGTTGTAGTTGTATAGGATGTTACAAATTTCGTTTCTTTTTTACTTAATTACTTAGTTTGTTTGAAAAATATTTATTTTTCATTATTGATTTTTTTAACGTTAATATTTTTTATGATTATTGGCAAGTAGCTTTAGACGTGTGTTCATTTATTGTCGCGATGGCAACGACACGCTGTATATTTAAGTACGTGTTTATGTATGTATGTAAACAAGCATGTACTTATGTGTGCGTATGTGTATATATTTACGTATTATTGTATGCATTTGCTTTAATCATATATAATGTACATTCCTTTTATTGCACCACCTACATAGTATACGTTTCCTTTACACCATCGGTTGCCTGGAAAAGATCGCTATGAAGCTATGATGCCGCCAAATTGTACATAGAATTTTGTTGTTCTATTGTCAATTTTATGTATACTCTCATTTGTGGTGGACAATAAAGGTGTATTCATTCATTCATTCAGTAATACACCCCCACCCGTAGGTATGGCTACCTCAGCATATGCATGCGCGTCGTGCCGCGCAACGACACCGAGGGCTGGGTGTTCAGGGAGCCCACGGTGAGCGTGTTCCGCGAAGTGGAGCGGTTCACGCTGATGCCGAAGCCGCGCCAGCCCAAGACGCTGTTCGACGGCGACTTCCATATGGAGTTCTGCGACAACCTCAAGCAACTCCTGCAGGCGTACTTCCGCGACTTCAGTTTCGAGAGGTAAGCGAGGATAATAATATTAAGCCTTTGGCATTGTTTTTGTTTGGTGATGCTTATGGCCTTAACATTAAGACTATAAATATTAAGCCGTAAAGAAGGCAACAGTCCCTTTCGGCTAATATTAAAAGAAAATGGAAAGTCTATGCTAATATCTTATTGCCTGGGCTCAACACCCATAAAGTTCTGGGACTACAATTTTTTTTCTTTCAGTGTCTGTCCGATTCATTTCAAAAACTTTAATTAAATCACGGTTTACGCATGATCTACGCCCACGTTTCCGTGTTTTTTTAGAAAGAAAAAGCAAAACATCATTAAAAAAATAAATTATAAGTTCAATGCTATGAAATAAATTGTTATAAAACTTTTCACGGTGTTCACAGGCTCCAGTGTAATTAATAAATTATAAATATGATGAAATGATACGATGATATTGAACAAATAGAATTTAGTGAACAAAGAACGTTAATCCACTCGAGTTTAAAATTTGTTTTTGTGTGAGAAGACGGCAAATAAGCAATTCACCTGATGTAAACTGATTACCAACACCCATGGACGTATACCATACATATGAGGCTGCTAATGCGTTGCTAGCTTTTGTTAGCATGGGCCTCGGTTACCTTACTCACAACGCGAAAGTACCCATCATACTTCATAAATCAAGTCTATATTGAATAATGAAAATTTGACTTCATAATTTTATTTACTTATACTTAATTGCAATTACCTTAAAAAGGATTACAAGGGGTGAACAAAGGTAATGGCGTTTTGACCCGGGGCGAACCAGACTGACTTGGCCTTTCTACTGGACGGTACCAGGGTACCAGATATCCTTACTATATCCTTACTAATATTATAAACGCGAAAGTTTGTATGTATGGATGGATGTTTGTTACTCTTTCACGCAAATACTACTGAATGGATTCTAATGAAACTTTACAATAATAATATAGCTTATACATCAGAATGAGACATAGGCTATAATTTATATACACATTTTTATGTATATAATATATATGCCTTTCTGTCTGAATGTTACGCCTATTCTACTGGACGGTACCAGGGTACCATATACAGACTATAATGATTCATTTCGGGATGTATGACGGATTGCAGGCTGGAGAGGCCTTGGCGCGCCTTCACTGCGGGCTGGCCCACTGACATAATGGCGCGGAACCTGGGAATAAACTCCTCGTTCATCACCGGGGACCACTGCTACGTCCTAGTCAGGGTGTCCAGGTAAACCTGTCGCCGTTTCAAACCTTGTGTACCATGTGCACATATCCTTGAATTTTTCATGTGCACCGGATATTTGGTCTAAATTGGTCGAAAATCTACCGCGTGCTCGTGCTGATTGCTTTCGACCGCACGACGTATCTTCGAAATATTTTTGACAATATGTTTTTCAAGCACAGACTGTCTTAGCGACTTAGTTTCACTTAGCCGCAAGTGTGTTAAATAATAATAAAATGATTTATTTAATACCACAACTAAAATATTTAAAGTAATCGATGACAATTTTCTTTCTGAAAAAAGATTTTATAACATGCTTAGTTGAAAATACTTAATAAAGAATTGAAACGCAAGTATTTTGGTGCCGGTACCAGGATTTAATTCGGGTTGCTCGAATAACGTGTATTTAAAAACACCTGGAAAGTGACAGACCTGACACTTGGATTATGACTATTATTTGGAATATATTTTTATTCCATATAAAAAAAACTTTTATTTGATAGAATTTTCCTTTCGAGTACATAAACTCTGTGAAATTGTAACTTATTTATCGACATTGATTAAAATGAGAGCGTTTAAGAGAGATTATACACGAGTATTTAATAAATAATACAGTTGTCATTAAAATTCTATTATCCGTAACATGTGTACGGATTGATCCTATCGTGGAGTAGTTTATGTAGAATAGAGAAGGAGACTCTTTTTAATCCGTTGTAATGTTTGTTTCGACGATATAAGAGAACTGGCACGAGTGATAGGGAACAGATTACTGAGTGGCTATAAAAGATCAGGAAATGGAAGAGGTTGGAGGAGCCCTTTGCCGATTCGCAAACAGATCTGCAAAAGAGAAAAAAGCAACAGATAATAGAATAAGTTTTAAGTTTACTTTTAATTTTAAGTTTGATATGGAATATTGTTATGAGCTTAAGATGATCTGAATAAAAGGCTATTACCATTATTAATAATGTTTGTTTATGTACGTTGATATTTTTTTATGTTTAATTTTTGCTGACTGTACCTCAGGTTCCGCGAAACTGCGAAGCTGAGCGACCTGCCGCCAAACATCGCGGTCGAGGACGTGGTCTTCGACGCGATCGAGGAGTCCACCATAGGCGACACCGTCTCCATAGCGGACTTCATACGGAAATACGGCTCTCATTACATTGCGTCGTACATCACCGGTAACTCCTTGTACCAGGTAAAAATATACACATGTCGGGACACGTTTTTAAGCAACATAGTTAAATTCATCATTTATTTCAATCATATAATTTGTTTATTTACTTTTGATCTAATTTTATTTGACTTAATTTATTTTTTTGAACAAAACTTTATTTTTACAATACTATTCTCTAATACAATTTCGTTTAAAATCATCAAACCTTGACCTAAAACCCCATAAGCTTCTTAAATTGCAATATAATAAATAAATTGGCGTACAGTGTATTAAACTAATTTATAGTTTATAAAATTAATACTTAAATGTTACACCTGATGAGACACGTATATGTGTGAAATGTAATTTATACGTATTAAAAACCGTATAATAAATTGTAAACCGTTAACGTAACCTCAAAAACAAAATTAATCACCGTTGCATTTACCATTGCACCGTGCGGTGTCCACGTGAGAAATCTCATGATTTATAGCAACGTGAGTGCAGTTTACACACAACAGCTAAACGTTTGCAAAACAAAGCGATAAGGTTCATTCAAACTACCTCACTGCTTGCCGTTTGAAAATGGTTTAAATAAAGTATTCTTTTTTATTATGCTATTACAATTGCTTTCTTTGAAAGCGCATTGCTGTATAAGTTACGTATTCATAAAATAGATGGCGCTGGCAACAATTTGTCATGAATGTACTACTGTACATTTTGCTTCGTTATTAACTGGCTTATCACAGTATATGACAGATAAAAAGCAAGGATTATTGAAACAATAAATTCCCACAGAACTACAATAACTTTTTTCCATTGTATATAACAATTGGTAACGAAGTAACAGCGTATGCAATTTCTTGTTTCTAAAATAACAAAATTTCGCCCTGTCTCTAGCGCCTGAAGATGTGGATTCAATGCCCACTGCTGGAAATAAATTTCACTTGGACAAACACCTAAATCCATATATCGTGTAGAAATCAAACCCACGACCCTCGGTGCCGAAGCCTATACCTTGGCAACTGAGCCACGGAGTCATCATCTAATATCTAGTACCTATAATACAAGCTTTGCTCAGTTTGAGACGAGAGAGAGAACATCCTTTAAAAAGTTTGTTCTGAAAAAAAAATTATGGGCCATGGTGGCCAGCGAGCTGCCCGTTCACCTGATGTTAAGTGGTAACTGCCGCCCATGGACATTTGCAACACCCGTAGGGTCGCAGATGCGTAACCTTTAATGTGGGCCCCCAACGACACGCAGAAGTACTTCTATGGTCTCCCATTCGTGAAATAGTGAAGGCTGCAGCATGGCCCCTCAGTAATATCATATTTATATATTCACGTTTTATATTCAATTACTAACCACTTTGTCAGGTGTTTGTGTTCTCGCGTGGAGTGTACTCGAAGATAAAGGAGCGAGTCAAGTCGCAGGGCGTGAAAGACGTACCGCCTACAGAGATGAATAACTTCTTCTCGCCGTTCTTTGCCGAGCACGTTGGCGCGGTCAAGGTTTGGATCGATCGACGTGGCCTGCTTCTATTTTTTTTTTTTTTTTTATTATCCACAGCGAAGGTCTATTTATTTATGCATACATTGGATGCCTTACGCAGAAGCATCTTGTTTATGGTTAAAATGCCTTTACAGTAATTATCTAGAAATCATCACATTGAAAGGCGTCATTCAATGCCTAACTGTCAATAAATCTTTGTTAATTGGATAAAAATTGTATACTATGAACGGACGAACGGGAATTTATGTGACGTTGGAATGACATAAGGAATGCTGCTTTGCATCAAAAATAGCATTTTGATCATTTGCACCAAATAATTGTCTTTCTCTTATCATTTCATCATTCTAAGCATGTGCATTTCCATTATCATTACTTTACATCTCATAAAAACATTTTCTTGGTTTTTAAAATAAATTAATTAAAAATATGTGATTGTATGACATTGATAAAAGACAAAAAAATAATGAAGAGGTCATGGTTACTTAAAAAACATATTTAAATAGAGATATTATTAATACGAGTTGTTGCATTTGTTCCACGATCCAAATGTTGGCCGCCATATCAAAAGCATCTAAGAGTACACTCACGCAGGCCAAATATCGAACTGAAGGAAATGTCTTTGAAAAATGTGTCTGCTCTCACCTTCAGGTATTTGTATTCTCTAGAACCGCATACTCCATGATCAAAGAAAGATTAAAAAGCAAAGGAGTAGCTGATATAACCGCTAAGGAGCTAGAAGGCTACTTCTCGCCATGGCATGCTAAACATATAGGCCAGATTAAGGTAAAGAGTTTTATGAAATAAGTTTTAATATAGATTAAAAACTAAAATGACATTTATAACTTTCCCGGCATTTCGTGTTTCTATAAATCACCGATCATCGCACGATGTTCATTCACAATCATGTCAATGTTGTCATTATTAACAAAAAATATAATTTTGTTTCAAATTGCACTAATGGACATAAACAGAGAAACGTAAATTTAGGTGGCCAGTGTTTTTTATTTTTTTTATTTTATCTGTCAGTTTTATCTGTATCGTTTTAAGATCGGGCGAGCGCGTTGGCCGCTCGTACTTTTTAATTTCAACCTCCTAAATAACTTAAAACTATCGTGGCAGTGTTAACAAAGATGCGTTAAAATAAACTATATCCAATATACGGAATGAAGTGAGACTTTCCAATACATTTACTTCCTGCATGATAAAACTTAAAACTATGTCACACTGAGCGTGTCTTTCCCTGGATTGTGACTTTTTCTTTGACTCATCTATTATAAATGTTTAATATCAAAACCATTTTTGACGAACGAACAAAGTTCAACCAAACTACACAATGACTATTCCGGCTTCATCAAGTCATCTTACTAAATTTCACTTGTATTTCAGGAAAGATAGTTCCGAAATTAAAAAAAGTTAATCCGAATTCAAAAAAGTTATAGCGCAATTTCTGAGCTTGCTAGTGGCAATAAATGTTACATCTTGTTATCATGTTTTAGTGTTCCAGTTTTTTGTTTCTCGTATTTTATTATTGTTTAAGCCACTTAGTTTACTATACTAATTAATTGATATAACAAAAAAAAATATAATAAATTAAAAAATATAATAATCCTTTATTAGAAACCAAAAATCAACCTCTTTTGGGTTTCTCCCAAATTTGTCCACGAGTGTAATTTGATGACAGGCAGTGTGTGTTTCTGTTTAATTTTTAAAAATCATTTCGTTGTTTTCTGCACATATAAAAAACTGTAAAAGAAATAAATTATAACATTTTTGTAAATCTTAATAACAATTTATATTTAAGCTTAAAATGTGTAGATAAATGTGTCGCTCAATGTTCGGGGTTACGCGTCCAGACGATCTAGTCATTAAGCAAACATCTAGAAGTGTTTTCATTGCATTTTAGCAATGGTCATCTAATGTGCTTCAATTATGGCAAATAAACTCTCTCAAATGACAGTTTTATTTACACATTTTAAGTTCAGATACTAGCGGATAACTAATAAATAATTATTAATATTTTTCTTCTATCTAAAACTATATGTTTTTTTTTGCGATAGGTGGCCAGCGGCAATAAAACGGTGGAGAACTGGGCTATGAAGCGACTTCGAGTCCACTACTACATTTTCTCCTACCCCAGCCTATTGAAATTGCACGGGGAGCCAACATTGTTGCGGAATTTGGACACGCTTCTCGGTAATGAGGCGTTGCTTCAGCTAGATTTAAAGACTTTAGCGCCCGCTTTCAAGGACGCGAAGAAGAAAAAGTGGTTCGAAGAAGTGATAGACAATTATTTAAAACTATGGGAGAGTAATATGTGACGGTGTGACGACGGAAAACAAATGGACAATCTTATGTCACTACTGAGAACTGTGTAATTGTTTATCTCAAATAAAAAATGAGAATTTGAATTTAGAACAATGAAAAAATAAAAAATGGCAATTTGAATTTGGAATAATGAACTTGATCCACTGATGAATTAACTGAGCTTTGAGGAAATAATATTTTTCATAGTGAACTTGATTATATCGCATAAGTCTACTCAATGAATATATTTTAGGAAGAATTTATGTGACTTTTTTAGAATTACTTACGAGGAGAAATGTGCCTTACAAAAGGATGTTGTTTAGTACATGCTATAAAAAAATAAGGTGCCAAATCAAGATTGGGTAGACAAGTCTGTGGTAAAATTTTCGTGATTTAACTTGTTTTAAAATAATTTCAATCGGAAACAAAAAAAAGGTTATAATTTAAAACATTGCAATTATTTAATGATGTTTTATAACGAATCGTTTCAAAGACGGCGCCATTTTGAAGCATTTTTTAGTTTATGAATTACACAAATATAACCTGTTATTTTTAGTCGAATCATCAAATCATCTTCAGTTATCAATATTTATTTATTTATTACAATTATAACATTTCGAATGTATTTTAAATAATTGTAGTGGAAAAATGTGATCGTACATTTAAGTTATATACAGTGAATAATCTACTTATTGTATTCAATTTAATAAATGATTAAGAAGTTAATTTTGTAAATATCTGGTGCCTTAATATTGAAATGATGTCGGATTTAAAATATTAAAACTACCGTTTTTATACACCAGGAAACTGTGTCAATTATATGAAAATAAATCTATACTCGTCATGTGCAATACAATTGTGAATTTTCTGTTAAGTTCGGCTTAAGGCGGTTGCGTGATCAGAATCGATGATGCATTTAAGTATTAGATTAGTTTGTATTAAGTGAAGACGGTGTAAATATTTGAGATGAAATAAAGTTGTTTTGCATTTGAAGCTGACTTATACTTTTTTACTCCTACTCTCCGACTGTGTAAATATTTTTCTATGGAAGGAAGTTATCATTTTTCAGCATCATAATTTATCTGGCTAACCTTAAGTCAAGTTAACAGCAGAGTACACCGTTTTCAGGTTATGATGACGGCAACAATTATGAAGTCTACGCCTTAGATATATTATGTTCCGATACAAAATATTCAATATCGAAATCGTATCATAAATCATATTTTTTTCAAATTGGAATCCGGGACACAGCCCGTACATTCAAATAATAATCTATAATAATAATAATAATCTTTATTTGTAATCAAAAACACATCACATTACATGCACATTACATTCATAAAATAAGAATCTTATCCTTTAAACGAGCAATTCTTGTATAATAATAATAAATAAATATTTAGGACACATTTGTACACAACATTTTCTGGTCCCAAACTAAGCAAAGCTTGTACTATGGGTACTAGAAAACTGATAAACATACTTAAACATACTTTTCTTTTGTAAATAAATAAATATTATACATATAGAAACACCCAGACACTAGAAAAACACCATGTTCATCACAAAATATTTTTCCAGTAGTGGGGATCGAACCCACACCCTCTGGGCGCAGGAGGCAGGTACACTACCCACTACACCATTCGGGTCGTATATATATAATCGGAATCTCGGAAACGGCTCCAGCGATTTTCATGAAATTTAGTATTTGCGTAGATTCGGGTGCGAAAAATCAATCTAGTTAGGTTTCATTTTTAAGAAATGCCCTTTTATCCCTGTTTTCAGGGAATGAAAAATATAATTCGAATATGACGGTAAATTTCGCCGCAAGAGAAAATGTCATAATAGCTCGGTCGGTAATCGGGCGGCTCCAAAACAGACGGCCGTGGTTCGCGTCACGATCTTTTATTTTTATTTTTTTACTTTTTTTTCGATTCCAGATCATTGCTTTCTTTATTTTTAATTTCTTGTCAATTTGTTATTTTGTTATTTTTTTCCCTTTTTTTTTTAAATTCTTTCTTTTGTGAAAAACATCAGTTCATATTTTCTTATTATTACGTCGGTAAGATCGAAAAATATTATGCATATTTAATTACTCAGTAATTTGTATCTAAATGTAATTTCCAAAATACACGATTTACCAAAAAAAAAACAAACCGAGCAAAGCTCGGTCCTCCGGGTACTAGGTATTATACAAACAAAAATAAAATATTAAAAGTGACAGATATATCAGTACCTCAGAGGTAATGTGTGTTAAGTCCATTTTTTATGAATTTTGCTTTTTCGATGATTTATGTCCAATTTGTTCAGACGGATTTAGTGGTAAATTGCATCAAGTCCTAACTTCCATTGATAAAAAAATACTCAGAAATAAATTATGTTAAGTGACAAACTAACACAGGGTAAACTAATTTATGTCCCACATAACACTTTGGAATTGTGAAAATTTTTACTCTATGGTCCAATTTTAAGTTAAGTCCCATATAATACATTAATGATAATAATCACTGTTTCCTAAAAACATTTAAAAATAAAATGTAAAATTCATATATTTTTTTCATAATCTGCTTCTCCTGTAAAGTTCGCCAATTGTGACTTGACACACATTACCTCTGAGGTACTGATATTAGGACTACAATACAAATGTTTCGTCAAATCATAATTTATTATGAACATCACACTAGGCATGGTCCGCCGCATAACACTACACCCACAGCTAGTGTAACAACAAACACAATAGTTCGCCCTCGCCTCCGAGCACGGCGAGACCATCACAACGCGTACACAAGGTACACCCGCGTTCCAGGGCGGTTCTCACCGCCCCCAGCCACCGATTAGCTAAAACACAGTCGACGGCCATCGGGGTCTCGGTCCGCACCGCAACTTCGATGGCCCTTAGACGACATGTCGTAGTTAAACGCACGCATGAGCACATGCGCGGCCCTACCCACAGCGGAGGGCCCAAACCCATGGGTTCTGGCTAGCCCACCGGTTCTGCGTCAGATGAAGCTTTAATAGTCTCGGGACTGAAAGCAAAAACATCAGTTAATACAAGATACAAGATACAAGATACTAGGCATGGCCTGTATCGCGAGTTCCACTCTACATGATTGCCAAAATCGCTCGTCGAACATTTTACATGAAATAAAATAGTATCCAACGGATACGTTAGGTTAATAGTTTGTGCCAGTGACAGTAGATATTACAGCTAAATAGATTTTTTGTGCAGTTAATGTATGCCTGTTTAATTACTTTCCTTTATTTGACGATTTTTATTACATTCTCTGTTTCATTGTAGGTAAGTTGAAGTAAAAAAGCCTTTATTTTTTTCTTTGCTTTGTATATGGAGTCTTCCTTAAGGTCACAGTTCTTTATGATTTATAATAATACTTATAGAAATACTTGTCATACGTTTTTTTTTTTTTTTGGACAACAGGGCCTAATAAGATAATATTGATATTTTGTCTTCAATATATCGAAGCCGATATTGATATTTTTATAATATCGATAGGTACAGTTATTTCTTCACTTTCGGCATTCCTTATTTGGCCTATAACAATCTCCTTTTCTTGAAGAAAGCCGCTTCGTGATGTTAAGCTCTTTTAATATAGAGACTTTGGCTCTTCTGGCAGTCCAAGGAATTGAGAGCGTCCTACACCAACGCCACATTTCGAAAGCATATATCTAACAGCTATCGCGGCTTCTCATGCTCCATGTTTCAGCACCATACGTAAAAATAGGGAAGACGAAGGCAGGTATCAACTAGTTGTTTTAAAAAGTGTATTATGTAAAACCGTGTATAGCTTAAGAATCATCGAACGACATTTCGTCCAGAATAAATTTAAATTCGGTTTCCCTTGTATCACAATAATCCGTTTTAATGCCACTAATAGGCTTCCGATGAAAGGTAAGTGATAATTAAATAAGTAGGTATAGCGCGCGAAACAATGAATGCAGTTAGTAACTAAAAAAAAATAATCAAAACTATAAAAATGATAAATTATAAAAAAAAAAAGAAAAGAAGTGGCTAAATATCAACACATTTCATGACTTAGAATAAATAAACTTTTTAATATTGCATTGGACGTTAAATATGTCAAGCTCTGAACATATGGCATTATAACTTGAACAAATACGATAAATCGGTGAATGCTGACCGTAGCGACAACGACGTAGGGGCAGCACGAATATCTTCCGTCTCTATATACGACCACCAGCTCGTGGTAAACTAATATTTAATTTAGAAAGAAGTTTAGGGGAATCTATTAGGCCGTGCAATATTTTATAAAGAAAAGTAATATCCGTAGCTCTGCGCCTTTCGAAGAGAGTTTTCATTTTAAAGTATCGTAGTCGATGGGTGTAAGAATTTAAAATATGGCACAGATTATTAGCGAAAGATAAATGGTACAAAAATTGCTTTTAAATTCTTTCAATCCTATAGATATGAACACTGTAAGAGGGGCTCCAAGCAGGTGAACAATATTCCAATAAGCTTCGAACATAACAATTGAAAAGGATGATTGATATTTCAAAGTCCCTGATAGTTTTTGTCTGTCTTATTACAAAGCCTGCCAGCTTAGCCCCCTTTTTAACGATGTAATCTATGTGTTCGTGAAAATCTAATTTTTGATCAACAATTATTCCCAAATCACGTATACTTGAGACTTCGACTAACTGAACGTCGTTTATAGTATATTTAGTATTGTTCGATCTTCGTTTACGGGTAAATTTGATATGGAAACTATTAGAAGTATTAAGTACCATTTTATTCCTGGTGCACCAAATTCTAAGGGAGTCAAGAACTTTTTGCAAAGATAAAATATCGTCGTCAGATTGTATAACTCTGTATATTTTTAAATCATCTGCAAACAGTTTAAATTTTGAAGTTATTATGGAGCAAAGGTCATTCATAAATATAACAAAGAGAAGACGTCCAAGATGTGAACCTTGAGGCACGCCAGAGGGGACTGGTTTTGGTGGATATTTAAAACCACGCACATTAACAAGCTGC